TACCCCAGCACGACCACACCCTGCACGACCGACCCCAGCACGACCTACCCAGCAAGACCACACCCAGCACGACACTACCCCCAGACGACCCCACCCCAGCAAGACCACACCCCAGCACGACCACACCCCAGCACGACCTCACCACAGCTCGACCTCACCACAGCACGACCACACCCCAGCACGACCACGCCCCAGCACGACCACGCCCCAGCACGACCACCCCCCAGCACGGCCACCCCATCAGCACGACCCCCCCCCAGCACGACCACCCCCCAGCACGACCACACCCCAGCACGACCACACCCCAGCACGACCACACCCCAGCACGACCCCACCCCAGCACGACCCCACCCCAGCACGACCCCATCCTAGCAAGACCACACCCCAGCACGACCACACCCCAGCACGACCCCACCACAGCACGACCACACCCCAGCACGACCACGCCCCAGCACGACCACGCCCCAGCACGACCACGCCCCAGCACAACCACCCCCCAGCACGACCACCCCCCCAGCACGACCACACCCCATCACGACCACCCCCCAGCACGACCACACCCCAGCACGACCACTCCCCAGCACGACCACACCGCCTTGGTTGAGTGGTTGCCTGTCGTCGTGGAATGTTTCGTTGGGTGTCTCGTGGAATGTTTCGCGGGGTGTCTCCTGGAATGTTTCGTGAGGTGTCTCGCGGAATGTTTCGTGAGGTGTCTCGTGGGATGTTTCGTGAGGTGACTCGTGGGATGTTTCGTGAGGTGTTGCCCCGTTGGGTATCGTGAAAACGTGCCCATGCTCCACATGTCTATATCCCTTTCCGGGTTCGTGGGTCCATCATGTTTGTTTGTGCCTCGCAGGTTTTGTTAGCCAGGCCCCTCAGGGGTGTGGGATCTTCCGGACCCCCTGGGGATTCTGGAGGCCTCCTGGAGGCCTGGAGAGCCGTCGGAGGGTGTCTCGGGCTGCGCGGGAGCGTGTTGGGCCGTGCTTTACGTTATGGGGGCTCCTTGGGGTCGTCTTGGGCTGTCCTTGGGCGTCTTGGGGGCCCCCCTGGGAAGCCAGGAAGGACCGGGGGGGCGTTGGGGGCCTCTGGGTGGTCCCAGAGGCCTCTCGGACCGAAGGTCTCTGGAAGCATCCTGCTCCCGCTCTTGGGCCCATCTTGGGCCTGTTCTGGGGTGGTCTGGGGCTGTCCTGGGCGCTTCTTCGGCAGTCGTGGAGCCTTCTTGGCCCGTCTTGGGGCCGTCCTTTTCTTTTTCTTAGGAGGAGACGTGTGTGATTGCTCGCCTTTTACTGTTGCCTATGCTTCCTTGCCGCCTTTAGTGTGCTGTCTTTTAGTTCGAGTCACGTTCTACCGTTCCTTTTTTTCGGAGGGGGTCTCTTGGGTGGTCTTGGGGCGGTCTTGGGAGCCTCTTCGGTGCTCTTGGACCGTTGGGAGCCCGAAAACGCGAGAAGCCACAAACATGGAAAAAACAAATGGAAATCGACGATTTGGGCCTCTTCGGGCCCCGGCACGCCTCTCGGACCTCTCTTGGGGTCTCTCTTGGAGGCCACCTGGGAGCCTCGAGAGCCGTCGGAAGGCTGACTTGGGCTGCTTGGGGAGCGTCTTGGGCCATCCTTTCGCATTCTGGGGGCTCCTGGGAGGCGTCTTGGGCCGTCCTGGAGCGCTGTGGAGGCTCCCCGGAAAGGCCAGGGGAGCGGTACCGGGAGCGTCCCCGAGATATCACGGGGAGGTGGGACCCGGGGCCGGGGGGGTCCGTCCCAAGACCGCCCGAAAGACTCCCAAGACGGGTCCAAAACGAAACAAGAAACCCACGAAATTGCCGAAGAGGCGCCCGGTACCGCGCCCCCCGGCCTCCCGGGGAGCTCCCAACGTTAAACGCTCCGGGGATTTGGGCCTCTTCGGGCTTTCCCGGGACGCCTCTCGGACCTCTCTTGGGGCCTTTTGGACGCCTCCTGGGACCGTGGAGAGCCGTCCACAGGGTGTTTTGGACTGCTTGGGAGTCTCTTGGGCCGTTCTTTTTATCGAGTTTACACTTTTTATTTTTTAAATTTCAAAATTTCTTACCATCATGCTATATATATTCTTTATCAAATGTGTTTCGTCTTTTCATTCGCTCATAGAATATTATGACAACTACATATTTTTTTCCTTATTCTCTTATGTAATTTATATTCCTTTACGTTTGGAGCTTCCTTGAGGTTGTCATGGGCTGTCCTTCGGCGTCTTGGGGTCTCCCCCCGGGAAGCCAAGAGGCGCGGTACCGGCCAAATGTCAGGGGATGGTGTGGGACCCCCGGGTAGGAGTCCCACTTTGGAAAAACAAGGGTTTCTGGGAATTCAGTTTTTCCCAAATCCTCGATCTTCGAGGGTTGGAAGCGGAAAACCAAGGCGAAAAAGATTGGAAAAAGCCGTGGAAAGAAACGATGTTACCCTCTGTGGGCTCTCTCGGGACGGCTCTCGCAGCTCTCTTGTGCTGTTCTTGGAGCCTCGTCGGGGTCTTTTTGGGGCCCCTCAGGGATCAAGGGTGTGTTGGGGGCCTCTGGG